TGTACAGTAATGAGAGATAAATCGACATTAAAATTAAAAGTATACACTGATTATGACATTGTGATTTAAATTATTTTTTACTTATTCTAAATAATCATCTTTGATGTTTACTAGTTTTTTATGTTTTCCTTCCAAATATTGTCTTTTCTACCTACTGAATGGTTCAATATGGAGGAATATTATTTATTTTTTGTATGTTTATTTGTATGGTGAAGCAATTGTTTTTATATGTAATTTAATTATTTAAAGAGGGTATGCCTAGATCACCCTTGGCCCTAGAGTATAGAGAGGAGAAGTAAAGAAATAGAGTGAAGGAAAAGGGGAGAAGAGACACATGAGAAGCAATAGGGACAGGAGTCAAGGGCACTATCATTCTAACCTGGATAAATATTTTATGAGAGTATAATGAGAGTGCAAAAATGCTATAAATAAACTAAGGTGGGGCTGGAGCAATAGCATAGCGGTAGGGCGTTTGCCTTGCATGCAGCTGTGGCCGACCCAAGTTTGATTCCTCCGTCCCTCTCGAAGAGGCCGGAAAGTTATTGAGAGTATCTCACCTGCATGGCAAAACCTGGCAATCTACCCATGACGTATTCAATATGCCAAAAAAATAAATAACTAAACAGTAACAACAAGTCCCACAATTTGTTGTGAGATGTTACTGGTGCCCGCTGGAGCAAATCGATGAACAATGGGAGGACAGTGCTACATGCTACAGTGCATTGCATATGAGATCAGTCAGTCATGAGACAGTTATACCCTCTGCCTCCACATTTATTCAATTTTAGTATTGTAAGTTTTTGTAACTGATACTGAGTCTAAGCAAGTATAGAGAATCAAATGAATGCAAATTGGGAGAAACAGAAGTTTACTTATCACTGTTTACAGATGAACAGATGACTTGATAATATACATAGAAGACCCTATGGGGAGAATCAACATCATCAAAATGGCAATACTTCCCAAAGCACTGTACAAATTCAATGCAATCCCTATAAGGATACCCATGACATTCTTCAAAGAAATGGAGCAAACACTCCTGAAATTTATATGGAACAATAAGCCCCCACGAATAGCTAAAGCAATTCTTGGGAAAAAGAAAATGGGAGGAATCAACCTCCCTAACTTCAAACTCTACTACAAAGCAGTAATAATTAAAACAGCATGGTATTGGAACAAAAGCAGAGCTGCAGACCAATGGAACAGAGTTGAATATACTGACATTTCCTCCCAAACATATAATCATCTAATTTTTGATAAGGGGGCAAGAAAAGTGAAATGGAGCAGGGAAAGCCTCTTCAATAAACTGTGCTGGCAAAATTGGATGGCTACATGCAAAAAAGTGGGCTCAGATATCTGCCTAACACCATGCACAAAAGTAAGATCAAAATGGATTTATGACCTCAACATCAGACCAGAAACCATAATGTTTATTGAAGACAAAGTAGGCAAAACTCTCCATGATATTGAAGCTAATGGTATCTTCAAAGATGTCACGCCACTGGCCGAGCAAGTGAAAACAGAGATAGACAAATGGGACTATCTTAAACTAAGAAGCTTCTGCACCTCAAAAGAAACAGTGACCAAAATACAAAGACAGCCTACAGAATGGGAAAGGATATTCACTAAGTACACATCCGACAAGGGGTTGATATCAAGGATATACAAGGTACTGGTTAAACTCCACAAGAAGAAATCACCCAACCCCATCAAAAAATGGGGTGAGGAAATGAACAGAAACTTTCGCAAAGAAGAAATTCGAATGGCAAAAAGGCACATGAGAAAATGCTTTACATCACTAATCATCAGAGAGATGCAGATCAAAACCACAATGAGATATCATTTCACACCACAGAGACTGGCCCACATCCACAAGAACAAAAACAACCGGTGCTGGCGCGGATGTGGCGAGAAAGGGACCCTCCTTCACTGCTGGTGGGAATGCCGGCTGGTCCAACCCTTTTGGAAAACAGTATGGACGACTCTCAAAAAATTAGAATTTGATCTGCCATTTGACCCAGCTATAGCACTCCTGGGAATATATCCCAGAGAGGCAAAAAGGTATAGTCGAAGTGACATCTGCAATTGTTTGTTCATTGCAGCACTCTTTACAATAGCCAGAATCTGGAAAAAACCTGAGTGCCCAAGAACAGATGACTGGTTAAAGAAACTTTGGTACATTTACACAATGGAGCACTATGTAGCTGTTAGAAAAGATGAAGTTATGAAATTTACATACAAGTGGTACTACATGGAAAGTATCATGTTAAGCGAAATGAGTCAGAAAGAGCGGGATAGACACAGAAAGATTGCATTCATCTGGGGAACATAAAGCAACAAAAAGGGAGATTAACACCCAGGAATGGCTGAGATTAGTACCAGGAATTTTGCTCCATGAACGGAAGGCCAGCCACACGTTCTAGGTGAAAAGAAGCTCAGATAGAGAAGAGAGCACCAAATGAAGGGTGTTGTGAGGACCCTCCCAGGGTGGGAGAAGCATGCTAAAAGTAGTCTATAGACCAAACATGATTGCCACTCAAAGCCTCTCTTGCAAAACACAGTACCCAAAAGAAGAGAGAGAGAACAAGGGGGAATACCCTGCCACAGAGGCAGGATGGGACGGCAGGATGGGACGGGGCGGGGGGGTGGATAGGGGGAGGGGATGCTGGGACCCGTGGTGATGGATGACGGGCACTGGTGGAGGGATGGGCACTTGATCATTGTATAACTGAAACCCAAGCACAAAATTTGTAAGCCTATAACTGTACCTCATGGTGTTTCACTAATAAAAAAAGGGAAAAAAAGAAAAAAAAATAAACATCACACACACACAAAAAAGAGTCCATTAAAGGATTCCTAGAAACAATATAGAGAAGTAGTGAGTTACAAAATAGCTCCCAAATGCTTGTCACATTCCTACATGCAAATAATAAGCCAGAATAAAGAGATCAAGAAGTTCACTCCACTTAGAACTGTATCTAAAAACATCAAAACTCTAGGAATTAAAAAGATGTGAGAGATCCATGTTATTAAAAGTGTGTGATTTATGAAAGAAATAGAAGAGGAATTTGGAAAATAGAAAAATAGTCTGTTTATGGATTGGAAAAATCAATATTGTCAACATACTATTCTCACCAAATTACATAGATTTAATGTAATCCTCATTTGCATTCTGATGACACTTTTTATTTATTTTTTTATTAGTGAAACACTACGAGGTACAGTTATAGACTTACAGATTTTTGTGCTTGGGTCTTAGTTATTCAGTGATCAATTTTAAAAGAACTTAAAATGGTCATAATATAGTTTGTATGCTATTATTTTAACCTTCATGCCTATCTTAATACTGAATACTGAATAAGTACTTCTTACTGATATTAGTAAAGGACAACATAATAAAGTATCAAAGTATTATCAATTGAACCCAGTAGTGTTTATGTAAAAGAGCATGATCAACAGAAATATTTCAGGAAAGCAGTCTAGTATAAATCATTCCATTTGTATAATTAAAAGGATAAAAACATGATCAAATTGATTAATACTGAAAATAATTTGTTAAAATTCAGCTTATGACTAAACCTATTATCATAGGTATAGTGGAACTTATTTCACCTCTGGAAGGTTGTCTATCATATTTAATGAACAACTTTATGGAAAACTTCAGAGGCAATCACTTTAAAGTTAAGAATTTTGATTCTTGGTTTTAGAGAGAATACAGGGGTTAGCATGTGACTGGCCCTGTTTGATCCTGGGCACTGTGTATGGTCTCCTGAACACTACCAAAACTCCAATGACTTCTGATCACACAAGCCAGAAGTAATACCTAAGAACCACCAGGTGTGGACCCAAACCAAATAGTAGTAGTAGTAGTAGTAGTAGTAGTAGTAGTAGTAGTAGTAGTAGTAATACTGTTGAGTCTCAAAACCAATTTTTATCTCAATGGATCACAAAATGTTTTGTATATGGTGAAATAGTGAAACATTGACGTGTAATTGTATTTGTTGTAACCTTTTCTCAAACTTACTTTTGAGTGAACTCAGAAGAATAGGTAGGAATTTTGCTTAATCTGCCAAGCACATGCCTTTCATGTGTGGGATCCTGCTTTATAGCCCTGAAAATACAAGGGACACTGAACACTGCCTTGAGTGGCCTTCGGCCCTGATCCTGACAGGTGTGACTCCTAAAACAACTTAATCAAAAAGAAACAAAGAGGCAAGTGGAATAGTATAGCAGATCATGGAAATGTGTTGCATGCGCCTTACCCAGGTTTTATGCCCAGCATCCCAGAAGTCCCCACCAGGTCTACCAGAGTGATCCCTGTGTGCAGAACCAGGAATAAACCAGGGCACTGCTGGGTGTAGCAGGAAAATAAAAATAGAATGGAATAATTACTGTGTTTCATTTGTATCTCCAATTTGTTTTCATGTTTAATTATCAGGAAACATTAAACTTTAAAGAAAATATGAAAAATAACATCAAAATTATTTATGTTCTATAATTTATTGTTTTACGTGAGTTTACATGTTAACTTGTTTTACATGTTAACATGGCTTTTAATGCTTTGAAATAGTATTAATATTTATGCCTTAGACATTCAGTGTTCAGCTACTTATTCATCTTCAAGGTGCCAATAAAATGTACACTATACATTGTTCTGAATTTCTCCAGTGGGAATACTCTCTCTTCTCAATTTCTTTCTGGTTTGCTGCTTGCAAGACAGAATTTTAACATAATAAAATAATATTCTGAGAATAAAATAACAGTATATGTTAACTTTGCATAAGTTAATAAAGACACTGATGCATAATGCTTAGATTAAATACATATATAGCCAAATAATGTATTTCTATGTATTTTTAATGCAAATTACATGAATGTAATGAAATACAGTTATCAAATTTTAGAAATAATCCAAAGATAATTTATGAAAGCATAAAATTGGAGATTATAGCAAATGAAAGAACAAAGTATAATTGAAACGTTTTAATATTACTTTTTAGTAAACGTATATGTTATGGTTCACCAAAAGAGTCCACATGTGTTATGTACAACTCAACGATTGCGGAATTCTGAATTGATAGATCCATCATTCCAGTGGCATGGGCCAAAAGGAAGAATTATTTCAGGTAGGATTTTGTTTCAATTAGCATAATTAAGATAATATATCTGAAAATACAATAAAAATATATTTGTACCATGCACATTATCTATTTCTTCTGTTTTTCATGGATTTCTTTTTGTGTTACCAACATTTTTTGACAAATTTTAATTTGTAGATATACCAGAAAACATACAATATGAGTTTTATAAGTATATACGTTTGAAAAATAATCTTACTTTTTAAGTTAATAAAATGAATTGAGTCACCTCAGTCAGAATTTGTAAATAAAATATTTGTGAAAATGAAAATATCCATTTCACAGTCATTGAAAATGCATGTCAACCCATTGAGCATGAATTATAAATGATTTTTAATAAGTAAATCTCAATAAGGGGATAAAATTAGATTTAATGCTCCTGACTCTGGGCAGGTACCAACTTATACTGAGGGAAGGTGGGGTGTGTTGGGTATTGACTCAGGGCTGTGCATATTCTAAGTGTATGCTCTACTGCCTGAGCTCTCTCCACAAGACCTAGTTATATTTTTATCTTTTATTCCTGGACAAAATTGCTTGAGTGGTCCCAGTAACATTGTGAGACTTGTTACTATTCTTGGCATATAGAATACATAACAGGTAGCTTGCCAGGCTTTGCCATGTGGGCGACATACTCTTGGTAGCTTGCTGGGCTCTCTGAGAGGGGCAGAGGAATTGATCTCAGGTCAGCCGTGTCGGCCACATGCAAGACAAATGCCCTACCTGCTGTGCTGTCGCTCCAGCCCTGGACAAAATTATGATAGGAAAATATATTTTTATTTAACCTAAATGCTATTATCTATTTGAAAAGAAAAATACTTTCACTATTTGGGGGGCATACAATTTATTTACTTTTAGTTTTCTGTCTTCTTATCTTTTAAACCTCTTAAATTCTTTCATAAGATTTAATTGGTTGTTTTGAGGATCAATACAGAAATATTTTAGCCTGTACAAATTTTTTTTATTAGTGAAACACCATGAGATACAGTTGTAGACTTACAAGTTTTTGTGCTTGGGTTTCAGTTATGCAATGATCAAGTACCCATCCCACCACCAGTGCCCATTCTCCACCCCCAAGAATCCCAGTATCCCTCCCATTCCCCCATCACCCATCCCACCCTGCCTCTGTGGCAGGGCACTCCCTTTTGTTCTCTCCTTTTGGGTGCTGTGGTTCGCAGAAGAGGCGTCGGGTGGCAATCATGTTCGGTCTAGAGTCTACTTTCAGCATGCATCTCCCGTTCTGGGCGGATCTTCCCAGCACCCTTTATTTGGTGCTCCTTTCTCCATCTGAGATGCCTTTACCCCAAGAGTGTGCAGCTGGCCTCTAAGCCATGGGGTGAACCTCCTGGTATTTATCACAGCTGTTCTTGTTGTTAGTCTCTTATTTTGTTACTTTATGTTCCCCAGAAGAATGCAGTCTTTCTATGTCTATCCCTCTCTTTCTGGCTCATTTCGCTTAGCATGATATTTTCCACGTAGTACCACTTGTATGTAAACTTCATGACTTCATTTTTTTCTAACAGCTACATAGTACTCCATTGTGTAGATGTACCAAAGTTTCTTTAAACACTTATCCATTCTCGGGCACTCAGGTTTTTTCCATATTCTAGCTATTGTAAATAGTGCTGCAATGAACAAACAAGTGCACATGTCACTTTGACTATACTTTTTTGCCTCTCTGGCGTATATTCCCAGGAGTGGTATTGCTGGATCAAATGGGAGCTCAATTTCTAATTTTTTTAGAATCATCCATACTGTTTTCCAAAAGGACTGAACCAGTCGGCATTCCCACCACAGTGAAAGAGGGTCCCTTTCTCGCCACATCCGTGCCAACACAGGTTGCTTTTGTTCTTTTGGATATGGGCCAGTCTCTTTGGTGTGAAATGATATCTCATTGTTGTTTTGATCTGCATCTCCCTGATGATTAATGATGTAGAGCATTTTCTCATGTGCCTTTTAGCCATTCAAATTTCTTGTTTGAGAAAGTTTCTGTTCATTTTGTAGCCCCGCTTTTTGATGGGGTTGGATGTTTTCTTCTTGTGGAGTTCAACCAGCACTTTGTATATCCTTGATATCAACCCCTTGTTGGATGTGTATTCAGCAAATATCCTTTCCCATTCCGTAGTTGTCTTTGTATTTTGGTCACTGTTTCTTTTGAGGTGCAGAAGCTTCTTAGTTTAAGATAGTCCCATTTGTCTATCTCTGTTTTCACTTGCTTGGCTCGTGGCATGACATCTTTGAAGATACCATTGGCTTCAATGTCATGGAGGGTTTGCCAACTTTTTCTTCAATGTACCTTATGGATTTCGGTCTGATGTTGAGGTCTTGATACATTTTGATCTTTATGTACACAATTTTTAATCTTCGTACTGAGAATATGCAAAATCATAGAGTGTAATTATTTTTAAATGGTTATTACAGTGACTTTTACCTTATAATTTGGAGGCATTTTTTTCCTGAACTTATGTTTTTTCTTGAACTTATCAAGTACCAGTATCTTCATATAGATGCTGATAAGATGTTACAAATTAACCCCTACTAATTCACAATTTAGCATCATATGCACTACCATTCTCAAATTCTTTCCCTTAGACAGCACAATTACAAAATTGCTAGCAAAACTGGATGGCCAAGACCAACAATGTTAAATTGTACTTGTGAAATTCTAATAGGGAAAGCCAAGACCAAGGGGTGATTTTCTTTAGTAAACATTTCTACCAAATTCAGCCCAGGAAGAGAGTCATTGAAAATATTCAAACCTATCCATGCGCAATGGTGACCCCAAACTGCGACTTCTTGTGCTATGTATATATAGGATATAATAAGCTGCCATCCATCTAGGAAAATATTTACACCCAAGACATTCAAAGCCTCCATATCCAATATTCCACTATTCTCTGGTTGTGCTCCCCAAAATAAACACCAAAACACTTTTTAACCTCCTCACAAAATGGGATAAGATGGGCTTCCTTCCTTCTTAAAAATGTTTCTAGAACTTATAAAATACTTGAATTTATAAAACAATTGATAAAAATATTCCTCTGGATTGTACAAGAATAGAGCTAGGGTGCACTGGTACCCATGGGACAAGTTGTCATTCAGACTTGGCTTCTTCTTTCCTGCTGCATCTGAAATGAGACTTTCCTGGGGATTGGTCCCTCCTTACTCTGCACATAAGTTTTGAATTTCTTGGTTAGCCGTGCTGAATTTTTTAGCTTTTTGTGACTGACTACAGAGGTTTTGTTATAGGTTTTGTGAGAGGTGCAAAGATTAAGAATAAACTCTACTTGAGTAATGTAGAAGGAATAAATAAGTAGAGCTCAAGAACTGAAATCCTAAAGGACTAGTCCGTATAAATCAAAGAAATGGGCCAGATATAAAAGCATCCAGAACTGTGAATTTAATCAAATTTTATTTTTGATTGCTCTGATACATAATGCAACCAAACATGTTTATTTTAGTTAGATTTTACATTGAACTTTGTTCATTTAAACATAGCAATATTTAAATATTGAGTTTTTTGTTGTCATTTGTCAGTCATTTGATTTTAAATAAGAATCTGAAGATTTCTCTTTTCTTAAAATGCCTTACCAGTTTTTGCCATTTCTAATGCTAATTAAAGTAGGTATAATTGAGCTTTGAATATTAGAAATATGACCACATAACTTTTGTTGATGTTATTGGATTTGTTGTCCTTGATCTTTGTGAGTGCTTTATATATCTTGGATAATAACCCTTTATCTGATGAATTGCATGCAAATATTTTCATTCAGTAGAGTGTCTTAATTTTAGTCTGTATTCCTTTTGTCATTGAGACTTTTTAATTTGATTTTTATTTGACTTTTTAATTTTATTTTTATTTCTGTTGCTTTTGCCTATGGAATTATACTATTTAAAAACCTTTGAGGTTCCGATCCTGGCAATTTTTTTCCTTATATTTTCCTTGATGTATTTTATGGGTTCTGGTCAAATATTAGGGCCTAAAATCCACTCTATTTATTTATTTTTTGAAGAAGAACATATATATTTGGAGGTATTGAAGGGGAGAAGAGCGAGGTAGTGGGAGTGAGTGGAGAGAATGAAAGAGTGTAATGTGCTGAAGAAAGAATGTGGGCTCCTCCAAGAATGGAGAGAGCCTTTACACACACATACCAGCATTAGACACAAAAGCATGAAAGTACATATCTCAAGAGGGGAGATGCGGGCGACACGTGCTCGGGTGGCATATGTGCTCAGGCGACACGTGTGCTTGGCCACGTGGGCGCAAGCAGCACATGGGCTCAGGCACCCTATAATCCACTTTAAATGGACTTTCTTTAAGATATTAGATACAGATAGTTTCATTTTATTCATGTAGCTATCTAATTTTCAACACCATTTGTTGAAGAAGCTATTTTTACTTCATTTCATGTGCTTGGCCCCTTTGTTAAAAATTAGCTATCCAGACATCTAAGGGTTATTCACTGGTTTTTCACTGGTTTCTCAATCTAACACATTATTAATAAATTCTACCCTTATTTCAGCGCCATGCTATCTTGGGATTCCTATAGCTTTAATAAGTAATATAGATTCAAATCATGGAATGTGATATCTCCAATTCCTTCTCAGAATGGCATTAAGCTATTGAGATATTTTATGTTACCATGTAAATTGTACTAGTGAGCGTTCTAAGTCCTTGAAGAATGTCATGGGAATTTTGATGGTAATTACATCCAATCTATATAATTATTTTTGTCAGATTGTCACTTTGAAACTGCTTATTTTCTAATTTATAAAAATGGAATAGATTTCTATTTCCTAAAATTCTGTTCTTTTATATGTGACATATTTCTTAGGGTAAAGGTTTTTCCTCTTTTATTGCATTCTAGTTGATGTTTTTGGGCATTGTTTGAATTAAGTAATCTTTTTTACCTCTTTTCTAGTTCATTATTTTCATATAGAAATGCAACAGACTTTGTATATTGATTTTATAGCCTGCTACTTTGCTGTTT